CCAACATAGTGACCAGCTGGATCAGGGAACTCCTGGCATATCCGGAGTACAACACAGGACGGGATGGGCATCTAAATGGAAAGGACTGGACACTATTAGTGTTGCAGATAAAATGCTGCTGTGTATATATTTATGTATCTATCTCTTGTATATTATTTACAACGTTTTTCTGTAGTCTTCATTTTTTTTACATTTGCTAAAAAATAAAGTTTATTTGTGAAGAAAATTATTTGTCATATCTTTTGTTGGTGGGTTTTTTGGTATAATGAAACCTTAGTGTTCAGAACAGAGTTTACATAGTTGTATTTCATTACATGTCATAAAAACTCACTCTTCTTTAGTTCTATGCCTCAGAGGTCCATTGTCATACCTGTTAATGTTGTGGATGTACTGCAGGTTGTACTGTATGGATTCAAGCAGTTAGGCTCTTGGCCTGGATGGTGTATCATACATGTAGGATGGACTGGAACCTGGTTCATTCCCCAAAAACCTAATAAGTCAAAAAGAAACCAGGCTTACTGTTTTATGAGTAAGCAAATAAAGACTCAGGAGACAGCAGCACTGCATAAAACAAATACTGATCCAGGAAGCAACATGTGTTTTACTATGAAACTGTTATTTCATATAAATGATGTGAATAAACTGTGATACATTGGTACATTGTACATATTGTAGATTATAAACATAAGGTGGAGATGATTATAAATCGCAGCTGCATTTTAGTAGAATGATTACAGTAAACATTACAGCTAAAACACTAGAATGTACTAGTAATTTTTATGTTTTGTTTTTGTATAATACAGAAATCTGTCATCTAAATCTGCCATTGTAAAATTTAAACCTGTGTGGTTTTCACAGGGAATGTGTTAGTAGCCAAATTCATAATAACTTTATTATTACCCAACACAAGCTACCTTAGTATGATCTTAGATAAGCCTGCCTAGATTAAAAAAAGGAGTTATGCTTCACACCTCTGCATATAGCAGTTGACTGCTATTGTTGGTGTCTCCATGTAATGTAATAATTGATTGTATTGTTAGAAACCTTTTATACATCTTTGTTTCAGACATTTACAACTTCAGTCAGTCAACGGACTCAAAGTTGTCACCGTGATGTAATGTCAGATAAGTTACAGTTATCATATTACAGCTGAAAAATTACAACTAACAACTAACCACTATGAAAGATTCTGCTCCAGTCTTTGTTACGAAGGTGGTTGGGAGTCTATCAGCTTGTGTTCCTTCACTCAAATTCAAGAGGCAGACCTGACACTGTTGTTAGCTTAGCCACGGCGTGTTTTTAGTTTCTCATGTAGCCTCAAGAGGTGAAATCCGGTTTAGGTAAGGGGCATGACATTTCTGATACAATCTCTAAACATTGTGCCAATCACAAGAGACTGAGCGAGCTGACCAATCACAGCAGACTGGGCTGCTGGGAAGGCAGGACATAAGCCCAGACAGAGTGTTTCAGAAATAGGTGCTGCAGAAATGGGCAGTGGAAGAATAATAATGTGTTCTTTGAACACTAAAGCACCTAAATCTATTCCACTAGACCCCATTATTACATTTATGACCCTGGAAATGAGCATAGTAAGACTTTTTTTTAGGAATTATGTTTTTTAAAATATTACTACTTCCATCAGCTATCTAACAACAGCAGAAATTAAGACAAAGGCAAGACACTAAATCTCTGAATATTAAGGACAGAGAATAACAAAAAAATGGTAAAAACTCTTCGTGTGTTCTTTCATCAGAGGAAGCTGAACTTGAAGTGGATTTCTGCCATCATAATCACTATCCATTTGAAAATTCAGGATGTTGTCCACGAAGTCTCCCTTCTCCGCAGTCCAGATGAATGTATATACATATGTACATATATATATATATATTCTTTGTTATGCACCAATACACCAAGCCGAATTCCTTGTATGTGAAAACCTACTTGGCAATAAAAAACGATTCTGATTCTGATTCTGAATGGCACCAAATACACTACTCAATACAAGAGGTCTTTATTTTGTTGCCACTGGTCATTCAGGTTTCAGTAGTGTGGATACTAGGGCTGGGTATCGCCACTGATTTCCTGAATCAATTCAATTTTGATTCAAGGGGTCCCGGTTCGATTCGATATCGATTCGAGTGGAGATATTTCAGTTACAATACCAATTTTTGCTAGTATGTGAAAGAGATTCTCAGAAAACTAATAGTGTAACATTTACAAGGAATTATATTTTAAAAAGAATAAATTCACAACAGGAATAAAAGTGAATATTTTATAACTAAATGTTGTTTCTAGAGTAGCAACAGTAATATTAAAACAGCAAAGTCACAATTTAAACTTTATCTCACTGGAAACAAAATAAGAATCCTAATAAAATAAATCATATTCCTGACATCACAATACTGAGTGAAGTTTAGAAATGCTACATACATATGCTATGTCTTGGAGGTCAATTTGAGTGGCCTGCGGTGAGGCTTAGCTGACAGTGCCCCCAAAGAGGACAAGGCAGTTAAAAAAACAGCTCAAAAGTTCAAAACAGCAGTGCGTGATTTTAGACAACACTGATCAAGAAGTATATAGTGTACATAGTGTACTACATTGAAGTGTACTAATGGAAGTATGTGATTTGAGACACTCTTAGTGTCACAGGACCCCCTGTAGACAGCCTCAGTGTTTCCCCTCCAGCTTGGTCTGTTGTCCAGTTGAACTCCAAGATGTCTGTATCCCTCCAGCACCTCAACATCTTCTCCAAGAATGGAGTCTTTGCTCTTCTAAAATACATCATTCTCTCTAGCTCCTCTAATGTTGAAAAAGGAACATCATACATTGTTAGAAGCCACAACAGCTATGGTAGCAGACCAAACTGCAGGCACCTCAGGTTAGCTTGGAAGGCCAAATGTCTCTATACTCTTAATGCCATCCACTACTTCCTATCTCATCCCTCAGAACCCTCCCCCCTCTGAAACATCATCACATCTTTGGATGGCATGCTGGTGCTCCAGTAGTAATAGAGGCATGAGGTGTAACACAACAGCGTTAGAGTCCAGTTTTTCCACTTGAAATAAACAATTGCAAGGGACAACCACTCTCAAAGCATCCAATATTTATTTTCTCTTTGTAACACTTACTCCAAACACATATCTCTCAAATCAAACAAAAAAAAAACCCAATATAATCTGGCTAAATCAAGTGACAATTTGGTCGTCAGCTCATTTTTAACTTAATTTAAAAGAGAAAACAACCTGTCACCCTCAATTCAATAGTCAGGGTCAGTCAGGGTTAACAACATTTAGTGAGACATAAACATTCAGAAATATTGTCCATTTCTCTCAACAACTAAATCATATCCACCACAGAGGAAGGCAAAAATGAAAAAAGAAATGGCAGTATAATCTGGCATAAATTTTTACCCCTAAATAATGACATGTTTAACTGACTGACATGTTCTGGTAATGTACTGTCATGTTATGGCTTGATTTCATTTAGCAAGCAGATCTTACACTGGCCTCTTTCTTGACTTTGCATGTGCAAACTGGTGTACAATATCTTCAAAATCAGTACCACTAACAAGTTCATGTTCAATGGCCAGGGGGAAAGTGCAGAAAGCCTTCTCTGTGACATTGTGGTCCTCAGCTCATTTTTAACTCGTTTTAAAACTGAAAATGACCTCTCACCCTCACAGTTCGAGACAGGCAAGGTTAAAAACATTCTTAATGCAACATAAACATTCGGAAATGTTGTCTTAAGTCCATTTCTCTCATGAACATGCAGCAACTGTGCCGGTGAAGTCTCATTCTGTACAAAGTGCGTGAACTGAATAAGTTCGTCTGCCAAGGAATTGTCCAGGTCTGTCGGATAAGTGGAGCTCAGCTTAGCAGCTTTTTCACGCACATCACAATCACCACAGTCCCTCTCAAATAAAACGCCAAAAAGTTCACACACATCTGTGTAGGCATTGATCTGTTTGGATAGGCATGAACTGAGTCTGTCAATAATGACATATTATGTTTCAGCCTTAAATCTCTGACTACTATCAGTAAGAGTTACGTCGCTGTCATCATCAGACTCGTCTGCAAATCGCTTTCTTTTTCTCACATGTCGAATGTCGAATTGGTAATCCTGTGTAACACCGACAGAGCGTTCTGATTCTTTGAGCTCTGCAAACTGGTCTCGTAAAGAGCCAACATACAATTGCAATGACTGCAAAAGACCAAGAGCAGTAGCTAAATCCATGTCACTTTGTTTTTAGTTGATTACTTGTTGCTTTAAACCTACCCAGTACCCTGTCCCACAAAATAGTCATTATTACTGTCTCAAGTTTATCAAGTTTAGAGACTAGTGCAGCAGCGTCGCGTTTGGTTTGGGTTTTCTCATCACAGTCCGAGGCTATTTTGGCCAGTGTATCTCTAATTGCCTGGTAATTGTCATTGAGAACTTTTGTGGAGTCTGCTCTACAACTCCACCTAGTACTGCAGAGAGATTTTAGTGTGTGGCTAATGTAATTGTCGCTGTTATGGAAAACTGTTTTCCAGCAATGGGTTGAGGCGCTACAAAATGTATACAGAGACTGTAACAGGTCAAAAAAAGAGTTAACTTCCTCACAGCAATTATCTGGTGTGTTCACATAAGGTCTGTGGTGGGCCAAGGCTAACCTCTCCAGGACTTCCATGATGTGAGAGATGTGAGGGTGATGAGTTTCATCGATAGTGGCATAATAGTGCTTGAAAAAGCGGTATAGAAGCATTTGGAATACATCAGATTAGATCAGGAAACAGCTCACTCCAATATGATAAAACATAGTTGAAATATAGAACAGGAGAAATCAAAAATACCTGTCAGTAATATAAGCTTGTTTCAAATGAAGACCTTGTTTTCTCGCTGCAGCTACGGGAAATAAAGGTCCAGGCTGGTGTTTCAGAATGTAGGATAATCAGTCTTGTTATATTTTCATGTTTCACTTCATACTCATACTACTGCTCCATTGTACCAATTTCCCTCAGGCCTTGTAGGATGCCAGCAACCCCAAATCTGCAACAGAAGAAAGCCAGCAGTAGAGATGAAACCTCACTGCCCATAAATCAGCTCTCAGATGACCCTCACTCCTCCAGCTCTGTGACCTTGGACAATCCCTCTGACAGCCCGTGTCTGTCCTCCTCAGGAAAGGTATTCACTCTCTGCCAAGCATTGTTGGGCCTCTTGATTTTTATGCCTCAGCACTGGCAATAGCCATGGCCAGAGGCATTACGTTTTCTGTCTGTTCATCCATCAGTCCCATTCTCGTTAACATGGTATCTAAAAATGCCTAATGAATGTTCTTCAAATTTTGCACAAATGTTTAATTTGACTTAATGATGAACTGTTTAGATTTTGGTGGTCAAAAGTCAAGGTCACGGTGACCTTGCATCAGTGTCATTCTTGTGAACATGATGATCTCAAGAAAACCTTGTGGGAATTTTCTTGCAAAATTGGCACAAACATCCACAAGAATTTGGTTGTCAAAGGTCAAGATCATTGTCATCTGTCGCATTCTCGTGGCTACATCTCAAGTACTCCCGCGTGATCAGCCTCCCTTACTTCGGAATGGGAGTCTGGGGACATTCGTCTTTCGTTTTGTAATAGAAATGAGCGGGGATATCCAGACCACGTGACGGCATTGCCATAAGTACGGCACGTGTGTTACATGTAACAGAGATGTACCAGAAACACAGAGAGCAGGTTACCGGTGTGTAGTACTGTGATGTGGGTTTGTAATGTAGTCAGTCATGGCTCAGACTACTACACTGAAGAAACGTGTGGATATTTGTCGGGTTTGTTCGGCATCGGGGAACAGCAATTCCGGTGTAGGAGGGTGTAAGGCAAAGCTAATCAGCCGTTGGTCGAGGAAGTACGGAAGTACACGGATTTGGATCCAATCACATCACTGCCGCTGGGAGCCAGCGCTAGTTCTATTACAACTTTCCTATGGGAATGTCCACAGACGACGGAGTCAGCCAGCGTGCTGACATCATTGGTGTCTGTGTAAGAGACTACATCTCAAGAACACCTTGAGGTAATTTCTTTAAATTTGACACAAACGTCCACTTGGACTCAGCAAAGAAGTGATTAGAATTTGGTGGTCAAAGGTCAAGGTCACTGTGACCTTACATCCTTCCCATTCTCGTGAAACTGATATCTGAAGAAGGCCTTGAGGGAGTTTCCTGAAATTCAGCACAAATATCCACTTGAACATTAGAATGAACTGATTAGAATTTGGTCACCAAAGGTCAAGGTCACTGTGACCACTCAAAACATTTTTGGCCATAATTCAAGAATTTTCAGTCACTAATTATGACAAAATTTCACGTCTGAAAGAATATTAAGATAAAGTGCTCTACAATGGTTCAGGTCATACCTAACAGACAAGCGTTTTGTGTGGGTATTGCCGACGCTAGGTCTGGTGTAACAGACGTCCACTGTGTGGTGCCTCAGGGGTCAGTACTAGGTCTGATTCTCTTTTTTCAACGTATATGCTCCTTCGTGGTCCTCTTATATGCAGGCATAATATCAGTTTTCATTTGTATGCAGATGATACTCAGATCTATTTAAGCTGTTATCCAGCAAACAACTATCAAAACACAACTAACCTACTAAACTGCTTTCAAGACATTCACAAGTGGATGTCACAAAACTTCCTGCAGCTTAATGATGACAGAACAGAGATATTGATCACAGGACAAAATAGTGCAAACATTTAAATGTCAAACATTCTTGGTTCTCTGTCTCACTCAATAACTTCACCCTGCAGAAATCCTGGTGTCATTTTTTATCAAACCCTCAGTTTAGACAAACATGTAAATTCGGTAGTTCAATCCAGCTTCTACTATCTCAGAAATATCTTGAGAGTCAGATCATTCCTATCCAACAAACATCTGGAAACTTTTATCCATTTATAACCAGTCATTTAGGTTATTGCAATTCCTTGCTCTCTGGCATCAGTAAAAAATCCCTCTCACATGTCCAGCTAATCCAAAACTCTGCTGCCAGAATCTTGACTCGGACTAGAAAAACACACCAATCCTGATTTTATTGATTACTTACAAAGCCCTCAGAGGCCTTGTTCCAATTTAAATATCAGATCTATCATTGCCCTATGTTCCTTCTCGCACCATGAGATCCTCAGATGCATCTTTTCTTGTTGTTCCAAGGTCTCTTTAATCAACAAAATAAAAGTAAATTATATTAAAATGTGGCGGAGGTCATTTACACTCCCACCAAATCATCAGTGATTTTCGGTACAATATAGGATGTAAGCACAAATGATTTCTAACTTGATAATGACCTTTGATTCAAAAGCCTACAAATACTGTGAGTCCATCTTTCTACAGAGTCTAGATGAATGTCCACATAAAATGTTTCACACTGTAAAGGATATGGTTCTGAACTAAAGAGGAAGGTTAAGCAGTCTCTAGGAGCAGGATCAGCTTCCGGACCGGACGTTCGACCGCAGATGGCTTGCCAGAATGCTGTCCTTGTCTTCCCATCTTCTGGTCTCCAAGGAAAACTTTTACTCTTCTTACAAGTCCATCCTTATCAGTCACTGTCTCCACAACCTTGGCCAATCTCCACTCATTCCGTGGCAGATCATCTGCTTTCTCCATGACTATGTCACCGACTTTCAGGTTACTTTTTGGAGTATACCAGCGTTGTCTGGTGGCAATATTGGAGAGGTATTCTCTTTTCCAATGACTCCAGAATTGCTCTGCAAGATACTGAACATGATGCTGTTACACGCATACGCATCCTCTCTATAATGAATCTGCCAGGAGGTGGTAGCACTGCCACAGACTTCATAGTGGGCAGGTGATTGGGCGTTAGTGGTTCAGGACTATCTGGGTCATTCAGGTTGTCAACTGTGAGTGGATGACTGTTCACAATAGGCATTGCCTCATAGAAGAATGTCCACAGAGAGGCATCGTCCAGCCTGCCTGATGACAGTGAGAGAGTGGAATGAAGAACATTCCTTACTGTTCTGATCTGTCTCTCTCATACACTTCCTGAAAGGCTGGAGTGGGGAGTGTTAAAGTCAAAGTCACACAGCCCTTTAGCTAAAAATGCAGTCAAACGTTTATCATCAACTTGCTTTACAGCTTCTCTCAATTCATTTTTAGCTCCAATAAAATTTGTTCCTTGGTCACATTTGATCTGACGTTCTGTTCCTCTGATGGTGATGAAACAAGGAAGGCCATTGATAAAGGAATCTGTTGACATGTCGTCCAGCATTTCAATGCGGATAGCTCGACAGCAAAGGTATGTGAAATGGAGGCCGTATCTCTTGTGCACCTTGTGCCCCTGTTTGGTGGGAAGTGGACCAAAACAATCCATTCCACAATAGTTAAATGGTAGCGATTGATCTACATGCTCTGATGGCAGATCAGCCATTCTCTGTTCTTCTGCATATCTCCTGAGTTTCCAACATTTGACACATTGATATATATGCAGAAACAGCTCTGTTCATTCCTGGAATCCAGTATCCATTTGATCCAATCTCATTAATTAAGACCCTCTCCTTGATGTCCTCTTGCTCATGATTTCGAGATATTATTATCTTGGTAATGTGATGATCATTTGGAATTATCACTGGATGTTTTTGCAGTGTAGGGAGAGATGCATTTTTCAGTCTTCCTCCCACCTTGAGGATTCCATCTTGGTCAAGAAAAGCATCCAACTGGTATAGTTTACTCCGAGATGAACGTCAAGCTCCCTTACTGGGCAACTTGATCTCTTCTTGATACACTTGTCTCTGTAAGTCCTTAACATAATGCGATGTGCATCCTCTCGCTCAAGTACAGTGCTTGAGCAGTGCAAAGATCTGTTGACTTGTCACCCCTGGCACGACAAAGGAGATGTGCAACAGCTTGAGTGACTTTATACCATGAAGAAAATGTTGACAAGCGGTCTGAGAGACTTTCTTGCTCCATAGTCTGTTCATTTAGTGTCTGAACCTAACATCTGCAGCTGGAGGTATTTCTCTATCCCATAAGAGGTATAAGGTCCCATAAACCAGTTCGATGTGAGAAGCTCACTTGGACTTGAACCTCTTGAGGTGAGGTCTGCAGGGTTTTTGTCAGTAGGGACATATCTCCACTGCTGAGGAGTTGTGCTGAGACGTATCTCCTGTATCCTATTTGACACAAAGGTGTGGAAACGACGTGCCTCGTTGTTGATGTACCCCAAAAGAGTCAGTCCAAAAGTACTCATCAATGTCTGTGAGACAAAGTTCCTCCTCCAGGGTGGTGCATAATGCCCCATTCCATCCTCATTCACATCAATCAATCAATCAATTTTATTTATGAAGCCCAATATCACAAATCACAATTTGCCTCACAGGGCTTTACAGCATACGACATCCCTCTGTCCTTAAGACCCTCACAGCTGATCAGGAAAAACTCCCCAAAAAACCCTTTAACGAGGGAAAAAAAACGGTAGAAATCTCAGGAAGAGCAACTGAGGAGGGATCCCTCTTCCAGGACGGACAGACGTGCAATAGATGTCATACAGAACAGATCAGCATAATAAATTAACAGTAATCCGTATGACACAATGAGACAGAGAGAGAGAGAGAGAGAGAGAGAGAGAGAGACAGAGAGAGAGAGAGAGAGATGCAGGTAATGACAGTAGCTTACAACAACATTAATGAAAGTAATAATATTATAGTTATAGTTCTGGCTACTGTGGTACAATATGTTGAAAGTAAATATTAATATCTGGCAGTACTCACATGTCTCTAGTACGAACATTGTCCATAGCCATATGTGCTTACATCAGAGAAGTGTTTCAAGACGTGTCAACAGTCAGCTGGAGCATAGCAAGGGGGTATGCTGATTTTCTCTAAATTTCATTTTTTTCATTTATTGGTTTATTTTGTCGGGACAGTGCATATTAATGAACAGTACATACATGATGTAATGTAAATATGCTGGAGTTAGCATGCATGCTAAATTTCATCCGCAGTCCCCGAACAATAAACATAAAAAACGGTCAGCACATTACAATACAAAAGTCCAATGTAAAACAGTGTACATGTACAAACATGCATAAATACCTACAAGTTCATGTACACATACACACACATATAAATAACAACACACATACAAAAGACAAGCCAGATTAAGAATGCTCACAGG